AACCAAAAATACCGATTGTATTCTCGAAGACGAGAAACAAATTATCGATAAGATTAAATAAATTTTTTGATTACGGTTGACAATATCGAATTAATACATGGCTTGTCGACTAAGAATCGTTCGGTTCTTATTGAAAGGCGTTTATTTTTCTCGGTAGAGAGCACATCAATCGGTTTTTCGACGCGATTCAGTCCAATTAAGATCGCGAGTAGACATTCGTCGAGACGGGCGAGCAAATTAATTAGCTTCGAGCGATACGGCGACTCCGCCAATCGAAGCCACGCATCGTGAATAAACATGTCCGACACCCTCGTAGCTTCCTAACCAGTCAACCAGCCAATCCAAGCTCGTTTTCCGTAACATTGCACAGACCTGTTGCTGTATATCGCGTAATCGTAGTCGTGCCGCATGCACCGCGCCGATAACACGTTCTATTTTGGTTCCGCGTCTTGAGCCACCACGAAAGTCTCGTAAAACCGTCGTCAACGAACTGGCGAACTTCGCGATCGCTACGGCTAAAAATCGCCCTCGTCGAGTTTTTATCTAAAATCGGCAATTATCGTTTCCGGTGAAAGAAAATCCGCGTTTAAAATTAGAGTTCAATTAAGATGTCGAGAAATGTGAAATTTTTCATTTCTCGTCTCGACGCTTTTTTTTTTGCGTGGAAAGGAATGAATGTCCAGAGAATTTTCTCTCCTATCTCTTTTTTATTCGCTCTCGCAGAGATAAAACATTCACTGTTTCCCTTGGTGTCTCGCTGTTCTTTAGTTTTGTTTTTTTTTTTTTTTTTTTTTTTTACGCCCCTCGTGTTACGGCGGATCTTCTTTCTGACGAGAAGATTTAGAAGATTTTTACGTGAAACGCGCGATTACTTATTCATCTAGCGAAGCTTGATACGTATATGTTCGCCATTTTGAAATCAGTTCTTTCTCGCGCAACGGATTTATTCACTTCTGTTTTATTTTTCTTGAAAATTTTGTTTTTGGTTTTTTTTATCTATGACTTTCCTTCAAAATGAAAACGTAAATGTTTCACAAACGTCTAAAATTCGGCGCATGTCTCACCCGATATAATCTGACGATCTTCGTCGCATATTAACAAACAATGTGCGGAGTCGAATGTCGGTTGATAGCCACCGCAGCAGGTTGGTTGAAACACAACACGGAGTTTACGACGCTGCTTCTGCAGTTCATCAGATCTTGGCACAATAAACACCGCGCGTCGTCTTCTTTCAAAAACTTGCAAGCTGCCACACGAACTCGCCGCCGTTTTGTAAACGGAATCCTTATCTTCTTTTGTATATCCTTCGGTTCTCCGTACGCGCTGGAAATAAGTTTCTACGTGTCAGTATAGGTGTACCTTGCAATTGGCAGTGTTAGAAAACTTCCGAATCGCGCGCTTTTTGTTGAAAGTTACGATTATCGAAATTAGAAACTTTATATACTCAATACAAAATAAATTTATATATAAAATTTTACACATAGGTATATGTGTGCGCGCGCGTATATGTGTGCACACACACACACACACACACACACACACACACACACATCTCTCTTAATATGATAAAATCTACGAATATATAGAAACAGCTTTCTAAGCCAATACTATATTCGATTTGTACGGAGCGAGGAAATTGCCATTTAATACCTTTAATTAATATATTGCCGCCCTATTTCAGAAAACTGTTAATAATCGTTTCCCGATAATTTCGAATTTTCAGCAGTTTTTATTACGAGTAATTCGACCAAACGAGGATTAAAAAAACGGATATCTGTTAATTTCCACTTAACGATACGTTTTGAATATTTCTAATTTCGTGATATATTAACATCTGATATTACTCAACTTCGTCACTTTGAACTCTTGTTTCGCGCTTTAACGATCCTATCTTCATTTCAAAATTGTATTTTTATGTAATATTTGTCCTCTTGCTGCGCGCGTACACACACACACGCGCGCGCGCGCGCACTAAAATGAAAGCGCGTATTGTGAATATATTATTCACGATTTTCTGATCAAAAGTAGTTAAATGCATTACACGAAATGCATCATAAATAAATTGATGTTAAACATGTAGTATCAACAATAAATAAATAACATCTTATGACCTAGTAAACAAAATACGTCCTGTGTTTATTTTGTACTTAAAAAAACTGTTAAAAAATGAAAACTCTTTGTAGAAAACAATGTGAGTGGCAAAATTGACAATTTTTGTTTTTTTATCGAAAAATATTTTATGTGTCAATAGGAATGAAAAACAAAAATTTTTCTAACAATTAAAACTGAGATTTATCTCCGGGCTCTGTGAAGTCTTTAACTAATAAATGAATGACAAGTCGTTAAGAGCCGTTCGCTGGATGTTATGCGGGAAATATGTCTTATATCTCTTAACGACTTATCATTTGTTTATTAGTTAAAAATGTTTCTTTAAATCTATTCTGAGTTTTTTTTAATGTTAATTCGAGTTTAACAAAAAGTGAACTACTTTACTTCGTGTGACGTGCTATGGATGGTCGGTCGAACGAAAAATAATTTGTACAATATTGTTCGTTAATTACGGAATTAACAGACACAAAATTCTGTCTCTTTACGAAGTAAGCTTTAAAGGTAATAGTTAGTAGTGTGTGTGCGCGTGTGAGCGTGTATATATGTGAGGAATAGAACGGAGAGAAGGAAGTACGAAATGTCGCAGTGCTCAAAGGACCAAGTTTGATTATCAAGATGTTGTATTGAAGGATGGGTCGACGCGGTAGTTCCTGAAGGAGAGACTGCCATTCCAATTTGTATTAATAACGTTTTCAAATGCGGGCAAATGAGCGTGAGATACGCGGAAGTCGATGAAGACCCCCAGCCATCTTTGTCGCCGTCCTCTCTCGCCGCTCTATACACAAGCGACAAACTGCATCCTCCTTCAGAGAGACGCATCATCTTCCTTCCTTCCTTCGATTCTCCCTGTACATCCCTACGCAATGCTATTAAGCTTTCGGCTTCGACGAAGAGAGCACTTTCGTCTTTAGCTAACTGCAATTTAATTTTAATTATGGCCGAGCTTATGCCTGGCTTTCCTCTGCTATAATATTCAGCTCTTACGTGGTCGGAATAAAGCGTCATGAAATTTTTATCTCATCGAAATGCGCAATAAATCCCGCGATAAAAATCTGCAATAGCCGCGCCTCTCTTCGGCGAAACGACTTCTCGGCGGCAATGTGAAGAAAAGTAAAACGTTCGACCTCGGCCGTATACAAGGTGTCACGTAGCGCGTGAAGAATTGTAAAAATATCTCAAGGGGATTCCGATTCAAAAGAAAGCGCGCATATTATTAATTAAGAAAAACACTCAGAGTAACGTAATAATAATAATAATAATAATATTTCGCAAGTTATATATAAGCAAGTTGTTAAAATGTTTTTTTTTTTTTTTTTTTTTTTTTTTTTTTTTTTTTTTTTTTCTTGAAAAAAAAAAAAAATTGGCGCGATAAAGTATTCTCGAAATTATCTTTTNAATAATAATAATATTTCGCAAGTTATATATAAGCAACCTCGTCGATTTTTTTTTTTTTTTTTTTTTTTTTTTTTTTTTTTTTTTTTTTTCACTTGAAAAAAGACAACCGTTGGCGCGATAAAGTATTCTCGAAATTATCTTTTGAATTTAATAGCGTGAATTCAGCGAAACTAAATCCCTTTCGGAGATGCTGAGGTTGCACCTCATCTGTATTTCACATCCCGTAAAAGATATATCCCGAACAGTTATTGCAGATAGAAAACCTTCTATATAGCTATAAATATCGAAGATAAATGTTTTGACAGTTCGAATGTCCGTGTAAGTGCTTCCCGCGTGTATTACACACACGACACCTGATATAAAGAGAGAAATTCGGGACAAACCCCGATTGCTGTAACAACGGACGACGGGACGTTTTCGACAGCCGTTTCAACTGGACGCGCTGTTGAATTTCGTGCTTTTGTTACAAAAGAGGGTGAGAACTCGGACTCGGCGAAATAGACGGAAGGTGCCTTGTTAACTTTCGTCCGTTAACTTCTACGCTACACACACACACACACACATTCTCTCTCTCTCTCTATCTCTCTCGTAATTTTGCTTCATTTCGAGTGCGTCAAAGTCCGAAAATTTACGCAGCTGAAATTTTCTCTTCTCCGCAAGCGCGCGCGCAAACTTGAAATTACCACCTGGAAATTACTTCATTGCCAGCAGTAAGCAGCAGCGACTCGAATGACTCGCTATTTCGACTGACGACTTAACCAACTATAAGAGGTCAGAGCTCGCGATTGCATTTTCGTCGACTAACATACACCCGGTCGTCGTCGGCGCTCATATACCGTGTAATAAGCGGTCGCCGGAAATGTTTGTTCGCGTTTATCCGGTCGAACTTTCATTCTCGCTTGCCGAAATTATGATAACCTCGCTCGCTTTCGACACGGAGAACACCATCCGAACGCGATCTCGAACGCGAATAAACTTTAATAGCGCTGGAAGCTGTTATAATTCCACGGTGACCTTTTCCCTTCCTCCCTCCCTCCCTCTCTCTCTCCCTCTCTCTCTCTCTCTCTTTCTTCTATGTCTTTTTCTCGCGAATGATAGTTAATTAGGCTACAGGTATACCGGAGTTGTGTACGTAAATGAATGTTACGGAGATAGCTCGGGCGATTGGAAAAGTTTCCACAATTTTTTTCTCAAGCTATCTCGTCGGCTGCTAATCAACTTTCTTTAACTGTTCCGAACCGACCGTCGCACCTTTATAAAGGGATATCTTAAATTAAGACGGTAAAGAATATCGATTGAACGAGCGTGAGAGAGGGTGATAATAAAAAAAACGTTTAAAAATACAATTCAGCTTGTGTAACGTATTCTAATCCGATATATAATGACAATATATCGCTGCACGAATCGGGACGCTTCCCGAATATATGTTTCACACATTCCGCGCATTTTTACAAGAGCAACGTTTAAGCAATTGGTTTTGTTTGATTCTGTTACAGGCATGAGTATTCTTCTTTTTCATGGATTTTTCCTACTGGGTCTCTTTGTGGCCATGATGCCGGATGTCTTGGTGCTTGGCTCGCCAGTACCGAGTTCGCAACATTATGGGGAACGGCCGGTCCAAAAGAAACACTGTTACTATTTACTGACCGGAAACTTGCTTCATGTGAAGTGCGTGAATATGGAGTTCCAGGAGATTCCAAACACTTTGAGACCAAACATACAGGTAAAGTTTGTTTATACGAATTTAACTTTATAATCTTTAGTATATTTTTGTTTTTGTTTTTTTTTTTTTTTTTATTCTCATATTAAAGTTGCAGTAAACGTATAGTTGTGTATATTCTTTTTAATATCGACATTTTTCTTTTTCTCTCTCTTGTTTTTTGTACTAACAATGGGTGTTCTCTTTTTATTGCAACAATTTCTATAAAGTAGAAGCTAACAGTTTTATATAACACAGGGTGATCTGAAAATTATAATAATAAATTCTCTTGTAATTTGGCTTAAATCTACTTTATTACCTTCAATTTCAACAGTGTGTCCTTAATATGACAAAGACTGCGATATCAAAAGTAGTTTATACTTACAACAACGTTCCCCTCACAGTGTGTTTATTTTTATATAAATATATAATTTATATATAATTATATATATATATATATATATATATATATAATTATTAATTACTTATATTTATATATATAATTTTTATACATGTTTATATATATATTTATTTTGTTTCTTTTTAACCCCGCTTGTTGCTTTGTAATTTTTTTTTATTTAATTCACAAAACATCGGAAAATTCACATTTTCAGTTAAATATTACGCACAAGTATTTTTCTCTCTTATTTCCTTTTTGTATACTTAATGGTTATATTTCCTCGAAAGAGGCAAATCTGGCAAGCCTGAGCTCACGATGCGCAAAGCTGGCTGCGAGACGGATTGACGTCCCAGCGGGTTAACGCGTGCGCGCGGTGTCTTGTAACACGCGCTTCATAATAACATTACAGGAGTTTCGCTTTATCAACGTCGGTAATAAATTTTAGACTCGTTTATACGTCTCCTCGCCTTTGTTGATCATTGTTTTACTTTTAATGACGTGTATCTCGCGGTAATAGATTGCACTTTTACGACTTCATGTAGTATTAAAGCGAATGATGAATGTTACCTTCGCGCCCGCGATGTGTGTCTTCAACTTATTCATTATTAGCGAAAATGTTTTCTCGACATTGTGCAAGATCATTAGTTACACCTTCCCACGTCTCGGGTGTTTTCGCGAGATCGTAAAGCTTCGTCTGTATTTCAATCTCGAGAGTTAAAATTCTATTAGAACGATATCCGCGTGTTATTGCGTTCCGCGTCGTGAATATCGTATGAGCATCTTTTTCTCTGAAGCTTAAATATTTTTCCGCCGCTTTACGGCGGAACGCCGTATTTTCCAGTCATGTGTGTTGCGTGTTCTTTTTATTTTTTTTTTTATTTTTTTTATTTTTTTTTTTTTAACCGTCTGTTCCAATACGACCCTCACATCCTGCACAAATCCGGTACGTCTGCAACTGTACCTCAGGTACTTTGGTAAACTTGCCTCGATGAATCCCAGGCAAAACTCCAGACATGCTAAATCCGGAGATTGGGTTGTCCAGGGTCACGAGGATGGATGCGTTCCGCAATACACTTGAGAAATTTTAGTCGTGTAGAGATATTGCCAATGCTCCAACGTTTGATCTTGTATACGGGGTGTCCCGAAGGGAATTCAAAGGCAATAAATTTTCGTCGCGAGTGCTTTGATCGGTTTGCAAATGATTTTTCTGTAATAGACCTCTCGCAGTGGATACAGGAGAGAACTTTTCACAAGTATAACATTTGTTTTTCTCTAAGTGCGAAAAAATAAAATCTTTCTGTTTTCGCGCAATTTTAACCAAAATTTTAACCGAATAAAGTTTGCGTTTTATTTACGTTTGTGTTAAATTACGTTTTGAATTTTTCAATAACTGTGTATTACGCGCACACACTTGTGTTAATTTTTTTGAGAAAACAAATTATCCGTCAGAGAATCCGTTTATTGAAATTTGATATTTGACTATTTCATATTATATAAAGTATTTAATACGACGAATTTACAAGGATTTCATGTAAATCTATACCGAGAGTTACAGCATGTGCATGAGTGAACACACACAGAGAGATTGTTTATGCATTCGTACATTGACTAATCTGAGTCGTATATGTATATAATGTAGCACAGACGCGTTCGTTTGCACAAATACCAGAAATACTAATTTCGGAGTTTGGTTTGTTTGATAAATGTATAAATCAACAGCAAAACAGAACAATGATAATATGTAAATGTTTTTGAACGTGTTTTATAAAATAAACGTGTTGAACTTGGTAATTTTAATTCGAAATTCTTTAATAAGCGGCTGATAAAGTTTACGATCTTTTGGTATTAATAATAATGATAATAATAATAATAATTTTATTACAAGTCTAAATAAGGTTTCACTCTTATACTTACGATGTATGTAGTAGACAGAAAACACGACGGAAGATGTAACACGTTATTTTAATAAGTGTTTTTTGATCATCATATATATATATATGACACAAAAGTGTCAACAAAATCAATATATATATATGAAGACACAGGAGAAGAACTTGATAATTCAATTTTTTCCGATTTTCTGTTTTTGATATTTTTTGATAGATAAAATGGAGTATTTTAATTATCCAAAGCGAGAAGGGAAAATTTTTGATAGATTCTGAGCTAAGCAGTTTTATAAAACGCGTAACAGAAATACATGTACGTTTCGAACTTTAAAATCACTATCCTCTCTAAAATTACGAAAATGTGACTTATCAAGGTTTTCTCTTGTGGTCTTCATATATGTATATAATATGGTCTTCATATATGTATATAATAGCACAAACGCGTTTGTTTGCACAAATACCAGAAATATTAATTTCGGAGTTTGGTTTGGTTTGTTTTATGTATGTAAATGCTTTGTATTTCGGAATCTATCAAAAATTTCTTCTTTTTGCTTTGTAACACGCACACGCACACACACTGTGTGTGCGCAACAAAGTTTTAAAGAAATTACAACATCCACATTTTTCTTTTTTATATTTGCATATCAAAAGTGTCAACAAAATCAATTTCCTCATTCGTATTCTTTTTTACATTATTAAAGTCAGCTGCATAATTAATTCTTTTCATCAGCCAGCTAATCTGACAGGGACGTCTTTACGAAGATTTCCGATAAATCTCTTTCATATTTGTAGTAAAAATTATTTAGCAGAAATATCAATTTTATTTAGAAACGGCTTTATTATTTAGAAATCTGATTAATTTATCAGTTTTGTAGTACACAGATACAAAATAGAAAAGATATATTAATTTTATATGAAAATACAAAGTAATAAAAATGTGAAATAAAAGATTTATAGTGCGAAGTTTCTCGCATTTAAAATATATAATAATTGTAATCTCTTGCTAAAAAAAAAAAAAAAACATTTTTCGTCTGTTTAGGCATTGGAACTTTCCACCAATCGAGTGAGGGAGTTGACGAACAACAGTCTAGCTCCTTACAAAAACTTAGCCTACGTCTATCTAAATGATAATTTCATCACGACTATCGAGGAAGGAGCTTTTGCCAATCAACATTACCTGGAAGTGTTGGATCTCTCAAAGAACGGTTGCGACAGCCTGCCCACGAGTCTCTTTCAGATACCGTCCTTGCGAACTCTCTACCTTGTAGACAACAAGCTCACCGATTCAGTGTTAAACGTGCAAATCACCTCGCCTCTCCAAGAGCTGTATTTAAGCAAGAACAAGCTAACAAAAATCCCGGACATCGGTCTCCAGCCGGCACTTCTAAGACTTAATGTGTCCGACAATGCGATCGCTTCGATTAGCCCCGAGGATGTGGCTCCGTTTTGTTCTTTGCAATTGCTCAGTCTGGCCAGAACTTCAATCAAATTCAACAACGCTAACTGCGAGTGTCAGACGTTCAACGCGTGGGTAAAACTACGCAATATCAAGCTGATTCCCGGTTATTTCAATTGCACCAAACCGCCGATCGCGGTCAAGAACTGCACCAACATAGAGTTTACTAATCGAACGTACGAGCTGTACGACGAGTGCTCAGCTATTATCCAACAAAAGATGGAAACGGAAAAAGCACGATCGGTTTGGATAACGGTGATCATAAGCGTCTCCGGATTTCTGTTCCTGGTCTTCGTGGTGCTGTTCTGTGTGCATAAGCGGAATCGCAGGCGACGCAGGAGGCAAATGAAAGAGGAGCAACAACTGGCAGCGAACAACGCCAATACCGAGCTCTTGAACAGCAATTTGAAACAGGTTACACATTAGAATCAATCTTTGGAATCGAGCACAGAACGGAGTTCCTTACTTTTCTCGATACTCTGAAGAGTGAATCTCACACTTCTCAAGATAATTTGTTCTCATTTTTTTAAGTTTTTTTTCTCACGCTATTGTACATCATCAAACTGGATCATCTTATACGCAGAATATACAGTATTTATGAGAGCATAAACATGTACGTACGTACACTATTACTCTATTGAACTATTGCCAAAGAATAGAGGAAATAAAGAAAAAACTTGAGAAGTGAGAGTTTAATAGATTTTGACGACTCGAAGAACTCTGCTGCATACTTAAATAAGACAAAGAAGCAAAATATGTTTCTTTGTTTCATCAATTGAGAATTTTGCGGAGGCCACGCAAGAACTTAATATATGTATAATTCGTATATTTTTAACTTTGTACGTTTAGTTTATACGAGAATTTGTGTCAGATGAATTTACATGTTGAAGCGCACACAACTGAGCCAATTTTTTACTTTCTTTTGCAAAAGGCTAAGATTACTTAGTGTATATTAAATAATAAAGTTTTTCTAATAATCGATCATTTATGATATATTTATTCAAAGAACATGAAATAAAAGAAAGCTTAAGAAAATCCTGCGCTAAGTACTTAGCGGAAATTTTACACGTATTATAAAAGAAGACTAAAAAGTTAAACGTTATCTACTTCAAGAAATTAACGATGTTCGAGATATTCTGAGAGAAAGCTGTTGGTGTTTATTGAGAGTTTAATTGAGACAGATTCACAGAATTTAATCGACTGTATCGACAGATACGTGCCTAGGTGTCTGATTCATTAAATGTCATCATGATAATGAATAAAAATGACATTAATTTCACGTAATGGCACAATTGACGTTTCAAAACAATATGTTGTGAAAAAACGTGATATATACACATATATTTATTATATATATATATGTATATAAAACGTGATATATATGAATATGTGAAGATGTCAGCGAAAATTGCAGAAAGAAAAATGGAGAAAAATAGTATGTAGAGATTATTTAAGACAAGTTCCAGAAGGAAATAAGCGCAGCCATCGAAAGTAATCAATAAAGAAGACAACTCCGTAAAGACTAATAATTACAGGATATTTAAACACGTTAACTTATAAAAAAAAATGTGTAAATGTTCTATATTGTGTTCATATATACATATATATATATAATGGTTATTATATATATATACATGTAAGATCTGTGACAAATTTTTGAAAACTCTGTATGTTTGAAAGAATACTATCTTACTATAAACTATTTGCAACGTTAGATGCCGATTTTGATTTGGACGTCGATTGAGGATGATTTATATTTTTGTCGATATGTAATATTTAGCGTAAGAAGTGTATTCATATTATAAATATTTTTTAATGGTACTTAAGAAGTCTTTTAAAGGATTTCTCTTATAGAGATTTTGCCGCACCAAAGTATTATTTATAAAGTATACTATAAATATAATGACACTGTTTTATTTTTTTTTTTTTNTTTTTTTTTTTTTTAGAACTTTCTCTTCGTACTTATTTTGTAAGGCGCTTTTATTTATTTCTTGTGCGAAGATACATATATAAGTATTGTAGTAATAAAATATTTATGTGCACTTATTTTTTTGTATTAGTGTAATAATCAACATTTGACTGTTTTTTCCGTCTGTAGAACATTCTTTTTCGTTACATAGATGTGTATGTATATATATCATTTCAAACCGTTATATACATCGAAAAGTAAGTAGATAAGTTACACAACGCTGTAAATTCTTTTTCATCGTAAAAAAAAATCCAAGTTGCATTTTGAACGTAAAGTCACCACGTGTTTTAGTTCCTAATACTTGTGTATTCGTATATATATATATATTTCATACGAATGCAGAGATCATTTGACTTCATTGTATGTAATATCGTGTAAGAAGAACCGTACCATTAAAATGACACAAACGTATACTTGACGCGCGCATTTTACAGTATGTCAAAAACATTTTTATACTAATTTCCACGTTACTTTTTAATATGTACGAAGAACCTTTATAATTATATATGTATTATACAAAAAATTATTAATAAAATTTGGATTCAATAAAAATAAATCCTTATTCTTTGACTGATTTTTATACATATGTTTATACATATATATATATGTGTGTGTGTATATGTGTATATATATATAAAATACATGTTTGATTAAAATATTTTTATATATCTCTGTATATAAATAGCTTTTATGATATATAAAATAATATAATGCACGCAAATATATACTTACAAATTCCATAGTAATTCAAAATTTAAAATGTTTTTAACTTTCTGTCCCTTGTTCAAATAATGGATAGTAAAAGTAATGAATTATCAATTTTATAAAATAGCATAATACGTAAACTTTTATAACATGAGTGTTATTTGTATAGTTACACAAAAAGTGACAAAAACCAGAACAAAGTTTTATTGTCAAAATCAAATTTGTGTGTGTTACAATGGGTGGATCGCAATAATTCACATTAAACGTAAAACTTCATCTCAATCCGAAGGAAATCTTCCTCTCTAAATCGACTAAGATAATCTGGCTTGGTTCAACCAAGTTTTGCGTACATAAAAAATCCGAACAATGTAATCTGTTTTTCATGAAATTCTTATCTCACTTTGATACTTTCTCTATTAAAAAACTTTTACGCTTTCTCTATTGAAACCTCTGTAACCTTTGACGTTCGTTTGAAAATTAAGTTAAATTATTTTTATTATTGTGAAAAATAAATTATACGAGCACATTTGTACGGTTAATTTGTGACTTTTTATTATTATTATTAATATAAATGAGATATATCATAGCTGAGAGAATAGAAATTACAAGAAATCTTGTTTCAAATGCACAGGTGAGTGTGATTGCTAAGAACAAAATATGTTTTCCCCGGTACTTTTCTTGAAATATACAGATTCGATAAAGATTTGTCAATTAGCCAAAAGTTACGTGCACAATTTCGTCAATTCAACGCAACCGAAGGAACACGTCTCCTTAAATAAATTATTATTCGGTTAACTGTTATTTCGAAGACAAAAATAACAATCGAACATCGGCCGAACAAGTTCCCTCGAAGCACGTGAGAACCCATTATTCTGTAACTTCGTAGACATGACGTATGCGTTATGTACGAATCTTTGCGCGAACAAAATTTATATCGCAAAGTAAGCTGCGTAACGATAGGTTTGAACTACGGCGAAATTGTCGTTACAAGCTACAAAAGACTAAGAAGGTTGTGTAACTGCAAGTTGTCAAGTGTCATATTTTCTCTCATTTCCCACGTACTGTGTTGTACTTAAAACAAAAAATAATACTAACCGCTTACTCGCTCTATTGAATGTTTCTCGTTGAATAAGAAAGTGAACATGAAACTAATTATTAACTAAATTAACAAATTAAGAAAAAACACTTATTAGAACACACTCAAATATCGCTAATCCAATGTTACACAATTTGACAGGATATGTATACACAGATCCAATTGAACATAGATATATATTCTTTCGTAATAAATGGACTTGTAAAACAAATGCAACATATTTTATTCATACCGCAAAACCCGTTTGTTAAGACAAACTTTTGTCAGAAATCAAATATATTATATCGTACAAAAAATATATTCAATCTCTGACAATAGAATTCAAGTCTTATATGTGTGTATTGTGTGTGTATGTGCGTGTGTGTGTGTGTTATACATACATACATATATTTTTTATTATATTAAATGTAAGGAAGTTGTATATTTAAATCGCAATATATTGTTTTTCTTCTTTCATTTTTTTTTCTCAAAGCAAAAATCTGACAAACACAAGTAATGTATTTTATATGTCCAATTAATTCCTTGATGTAACGCGTGAATTTTATTATTTTCATTAATCTCTAATTATCGCTTGCGGAGCAAGTCTCAGTATAATATAAGCTTCTAATATTTTTGTTTTGATATTGTATTAAACCTTATGATAAATTAATGTTTATTACATAAGGCGGCAACGTTCTTGACTTTGGAGATCCCCCTGAAACATAAAAACGTGTAATATTCCATTACTAAACAAAGATAAGTACGATAAAGAAATGTGAGTAAATTACCGTAAATCCCAATTTACTTAATTCACTGTATAATATTTATTTAGCCACATATATAAGCAAATTATTAATGAATCTCACTGTTATGTTCACACGATGGAAAACATGTGAATGAATCATATGAAATGTATCCTTCGATTATGCAATATTCTTTTATTTATTTCCACTTTTTTTTCTACAGCGAACATATGCAGTAATGTACAATACATTAAGTAAGTTAAAAAAGGTTTATCATTCACAAATGATATTATATTGTTCGCATTTTTAAAGAAAGTAAATGCGTGCACAATTTATCAAATTGCTCAAATTACTAATTACGTATATAATTTTACATGTGATTTTTATAGTTTAGCATCTCTGACACTCGAATAAGATGTATGGTAAGTGTATTACGCGTATATAACTGTATTTGTTTACTGTAAGCATAGTATACATTTAACTGTATTTGTTTAAATCTATGAACGACAGTCAAAAACCCCATATAATATATAGAAAGCTTCACATATTATCTCTACACAAAAATATTCTAATAATATGTATATACTTTATGTATACCTGACACAATAACAAGAGTATATATATATAGTTTTAATAATCATATAAAAGACAATGTGGTTAAGTGATGTAAGATGATAAGTCTTAACGAGAAGATTATATTAATTTTCAATAAAAGAGAGAGCATGAAATATTTTAGTCGAAGCAGTGAGCATCCAGGCAAAGTGCTACATGAGAACCAACAAAATATGAGAAGCGAACTAATTCCTATTATGAGTGTGCAAAAGGATTATTAATAATTATATTGACAAAACGTATAATAACGTCGAACATCTGATAGGTTATAAAAACAACTTACATAAAGTGCCCATCAGAGTCGTGTGCCCTCACCCTTAATATGGGTACAGATATCTTCTCTATGAAACAAGAGAAGTGAATTGGTTGTGTGAAAAAACACTACTCCCCCCCCCCCAAAAAAATTAGTCTATAACTGCAACACTTATTCTGTATATATAACGAATCGTCGCGAAACTATACAAAAGATAAAAGTCCGATTACTAAAACTATTTACTACTTGTTGTGTATAAGTTAAAAGTGAGTCTCTGCAATAAGTTTTATTTCAAGAAGCTCTAAGTCAATATATTACTCACAGCCACATTGTCTTACTTCAACAACGTTCAACAAATTGGAAGTGTTTTATATTGACTGCTACTTTGGTTTTTCCCAAGCTTTCTTTACATTACTGCAAATCGCACGACATAACTAGCTACACATAATTTTATATATATATATATATACTATCACTATGCTATCACTATATATATATATATATAGTGATAGTAAATCAAAATATGCTGCAGTTAAAATATAAATGTTGGTGTACAATACACACAACCGTACATACTATCGCACTTGAGTTTTTCCAACTTGTTTGTATTTCAAAAGAAGTTAGTTTAAAGGTTTTATCTCTTTACGCGCGCGCACAACATTAAATGCGTAACGTAAAATGCGGTGAAACGTTCACTGCATCGTTACCTGTTGATGATGAAGTTCCTCTGATGGCCGGAATCCCAATCCTTCTCTGTGTCGAGATAAACTTGTCGACAATTGCTGCCTCTTGCGCTCAGAAGATGCCACTTCCTATTAAAAAAAATTTAAATGCAATCTTTTAATGTAAAATTAATTTATTAGTGTTTTAATAATAATAATAACAATAATAATAATCATAAAAAACATAAGCGTTTAAATTAAATATCGATTCTGATCTCTTGTTTACATCAATGGGAATCGCACTACGATTTGTCAACAGAGAAAAAGAAAAAGGAACAATACATACTTCTCCTTCGTTATTAATCAGAGTTGTAGTCATGTTATCTGCGATAAACCACTTCTGGCCCTTCATGACAATGTTGGATGGCGGTTCATGCGTTGCACCAATATCGGCCGACCATACTGTTATATTAGCACCTCCATCTAGCTTCGAGGTACGATGGAACTTGAAGATTGTTTCTAAGGTACCGGCCTTGCGGATAACCTGCCACCCACTCAAGCTCATTTCCTGCGTTACAGAAATTGTATTCGATACGAAGTTTGTTAACGTGAAACGCACTGCTATCTCTATCGCAACTTTCGCGCAAAAAAAGCTGCGCGACGCGAGGAAATCTCTAAAGTTTCGAATCCTCTAATACCTACCTTATTGCCTTTGTTAGTCAGTTTTACAAATCGCCCTTGGGGATCAGCCTCTGTAATCTCTACGTCACCTTTGGCGGTAGAGATTACACTATAATCGCTACTGCTGCGCTCTTCACTTTCTTCCAGCAGAGTGCGTTTTCGCTTAGCGCCCCTAAGAGGCGTGTGTCTGGACGGAGTTGTTCTAGCGCTAACGGACTGAGACGTTGTTGATGATTGTAGAGGTGCAATGTTCATTCTAGAATTGAGATGAAAATCCAAATAAAAACTTAACGCTATCGCAGCAATGTTTGCTGTCAAATTGTTGACATTGAAGCAAAAACTTGTGATATTATTCTTACCTAGCTTCTTCAGATTCGATCATTTTGCGATATGCCGCGATTTCCAGATCAAGTGCCACTTTAGTATCTAAGAGATCTTGATATTCTTGCAATTGCTGGGCCATTTCATCTCGCATGCGTGTTAACTCCGCTTCCACCGCAGCCATATTCTCCGCGTGACGAGCGCGTTCGTTTTCTCGCATATTCTCCGAGTCTCTGCCGAGATATATTTACAACATGTATCAATTTTTTGTAAAACTTTTTTTAGCACTTTTATTTATTTTTTTTTATTTAAAAACAAAACGGTTGTGTTCAAAGAAGCTGTACAGTAAAATGTTAACAGAATTTCCTTCTATTTGAACAAAAAACTCAAAATACATTTTTACCTGAGACGTGAATTAAGAGCGTTAACGGTCGCTTCAAGTTCACTGATTCTTGAATTAAGCCCTTCGATTCTAGATCGAGTTTGTCTTAATTCCTCGACTGCCATTGTAGCAGCTCCGCTATTACGCTGAGCGTGAGACGTCAAGTTTTTAATTTTATTCTCATACAGAAGCTCGATTTCTTCTCGATTAACGCGCATCTGCGCTTCATACTGATCGCGCAATTCTTGCAACGATTGTTGCAATTTAGCCTCATATTGTTCTGCGAGACGACCATCGATCTCCGATATTTCAACCTAAAATGTAATTGTAATAATATATAAATCATTTATTTTATTTTTAAGAAACAATTGTACACATCGAGACAATATAATAAAAAAAATTATACATACATATATATATATCTTTTATTTCTGTTTTGATTACAAGTTTGTCTAAAACTCTCTGTCGTTTTAACAAATTGCTTACTTGTCGTCTTGTACGTGTTTCTGTAAGTTCTTGCTGATAAACTTGATCTTTGAAACTGATGTCTTCCTTGAGAGTTTGAATATTGTTTTCAAGATCGATTCGCTGCAGAGTCTCTTCCTCCAGATGTTTGCGAGCGTCGTCCAGTTGCGCTTTCAATCGATCCACTTCCTTTTCCAATTCACGCTTTTCATCGCCGAGCTTCTTGCGTTCTGACTGCGACTGATTGAATTGCAATTGGGAGTCATTCCAGCGGGTTTCGTACATAGTCGCATTTCGTTCTGCGGTTTGGCAATCTTTGATCTTTTTGTCCAATCTAAAATAAATAATATGACAAACAAATATGACAAACTACTAAATCATTGACATAAATATTTTTTTATTGGATACGAATTCATTTGTCTGCTTAGATATTTTATATTTTATAAATTTTTAATTGTTGATTGAGTGCCAAAAGATCTTGTACAAGCGCTGCATATTGATGCAGGAAGTTCACAAACCGCAACAACGTGCACAATTAATTAGCTATCTACCGTGATTAACTTTCATTTTCAAGTGCTTAAAAGCAAGTATAAAACATTTGTTTTCAAGCATTTACAGTAAACTCTCTTTATTTACAACGGCAAATTTTTACGAAGATACTTTGGAACATAAAGTACTAGCGGAACTGTCTTGCTATCCTTGGCCTACTGCCTTGAAACAGGTAATATTGAATGATGCTGTATCTATTCTCGTACAAGGAGAGAATACTGTTTTTATACTATCTTTAGAATATTTGATCTTTAGAATACATTAATATCGCACTAGAACTTTTATTTTACACTTGATCAAAAAATATCTCAGAATTAAAAAGAAACAAATAGAAAAATAAAATTTTTTGTGTACGCTATTGTGCAAATCTCTTCTAAATGACTCAGAAAACTTCAGTCTGCTCGATATAGCGTGTGTAATATTCTTCAAATTTGTACCGTCGAAACATTTCTAAAATTCACAAAAATTGCTTTCATTTGCAACAGCTCGCCGGTTGCAAGGAAGAATTCGCACATGTCGAGTAGAAAGCGCGCGAGTGCGCGTTTCTATTTCAAGCAATGCACGACCCACATTAAGAATTTTATTTTCTAACATGATGGTCCAGGCGTTGTCGTGATATTCGCTCAGTTCGCTACAAGACAGATTTTTTGAGATTGCGGTTCTTAAGTAAAATTAAAATCTAGGAAATACGAAAAAAGTTGTGAGAAAATGTTTGTGTACGTTTGTCATAGTGGAAAAATATGCCAATTTCTAATTGAATTTTAAGTATCGCGCGTCTAATGGATAACGATATTAAAAATTCTATACAAGTGTGTGGCGTGTAAACATCTATGTTACAAATGTTACTCATTCATAGAGTATTGTTACTGTAACAAATTTTAGTTCACAGTTACAAAAGTAAATCTGTTCTACGAAGTTGGTGTAATCGCAACGACTAAGGAATATCAATATCCATAAGCCATTCGACGAAGTTGAACACCTCTGCCTTAAACAATCGAACAAGAAGAGAAGTTTATACGCTTCTTAGCAGGGGGGATGATGATGGTCGTCGCCCTTTAGTTCCGTCGCATCCAATCGGGATAAACATGGGATAAACGCAAGACAGACGAGTCCGACCGAGAGAGAAAACGCGCGCTACAACGATAATATGCGTTCTACTATGTATGTATTAAACGTGTGAGCAACGCGTGTCTGCTAGTTAGACCCTGAGCATAATAGACAAAATATTAGGAATAGGAATAAATAATAAATATTTTTGAAAAAGAAATTTGAAATAATGTTACATTAAACAAGAGAGAACGGAATAAATTAATTATTCTAAATTCTTATCTTTTACCTTATATGATGATGCATTAATTTATTCTATTTTCTTGTTTTCTAAAGAAATAATTCAAATTTCTTACTTATTCTTATTTTTAATATTTTGCGTATCGTGCTCAAAGCCTTACAAGTTTGATCATAACATTCGATCAAATCCCATTATTTTGCGCAAGTGTTACATGATCATTATGTATGTAATATAATTATTGTATATCTCTGCAAAATTAAACATTTTTTAAATTTTTTAAATGTACTTTAATTTGTAAAAAATCACGGTACTATTTTTATAAAAAATCACGGTACTATTGATTTTCTAGTACGCGACGTACACAAAATCCATTTTTTAGCTCTCAAAAGAGAACGGAGTTTTAATCTGTCTACTTTTTCCTACGACATTACGCGCGACGTTTCGTACAATGTAAACTTGACCCTAAATCGCGAGTCCTCGTGCGACGCGCCAAAACTGGCGAGGTTTTACATTTGTTCGTGACACCGTGTAAAATGGCCGACTCCGGCACAATGATGTCATCCACGATTTCGTACGGAGTGTTTTTTCACAGACGAACGATCGATTCGCGTGGCCGAAATCTCACATCTGCACGAAAAAAAAAAAAAAATCCACTCCTCGAGGTCGCTCTTATCCGCGTACGCTCGGGAATTTGAGATTACTTCACAATCATTATTCGCTTGACGACCTCTTGTGTTTGTATCCGTGTCATATCAAATGCAGTCAGGAATGTGTAAACACACTCCTTTATCGTAATTTGAACGTGATCATTAACCATTCTTTTAACCCGTGAAGAATGAAACAACCGGGGAAGATATCTCTTCTCAGAAAGTTCGCTTCAAGATTTTGTCAACTTTTCAACCAATAACGAAAACAAAATTATCACGAGAGAAAAGAAGTTTCGGAAAATGTTAGCAGAACCGTATAACGAGTTCAAGAAAATATATTTAAAATCTTTATTAAAAATTTTAAATTAACTCGCGCGTGATAAACAAAAAAAATTTAACATTCCCACAAAGCGCGTACATAAATTTAAATTCCAATATCGTTCGATCTTGGATATTCATACCCTCCGACTGACGAAAAGTATGACTTGCGTCATCAAAAGCAGGCTACCCTATGCCTTTTTCGCGTGTTCAAGGACTGCTTAAAACTTTCACGTGTGCGCTGAGCGAAAGAGAAAGTGAGACAAACAAATAGTGCCTGTCACATTTGTAAAACGCTACGTGTTCTCGGTAATTTTGGTCACTGACGTTTCTCTTCTCCCGAGAAGAACTTTTAATTCTGAGATAAATATATATTGAATATTCATATACATATGTAATATAGCACTAATTAATGTAAAATAGAAGTTACGAGCAATAAAAAAGAGAGAGAGAATCATGATAATATGATCAAGACATCGTGTTACTCATCATCAGAAATATCGTGACCTTTAACGCGAAAATGAATCCTACAAACCGTGACTGTTTCTCAGCGGTTCTCAACTGCTTTAGATATTATGTTTGTTTTTTTTATTTCTTGCACCGGCTGCAGTTATCACATGCAGTTGCACAGTTTATCTTTTTTTATTCTTTATAATAGAAGGAAAAAAGATATTGTGAACCAGTGCAGCCAGTGTTGGAAAATAAAACAAACACCTATTATAGGTGCTTTTTATTATATGTTTTTTACGGACGGTATAAATATTGAATATTTACTTCATCTGTTGTACGTCTCAATAATTGTTAAAAAATAAGAAGCAATATGTAACGTTTATACATTGATACGGAATATTTTAAGACCTGAAATTTTTACTTGATTTTACAGATAGAAATAATTAAGAAAAAGTAATATTCTCCGCGAAAAATTTCAATATCACTTCTCTTTTCGGAAACAAACTGCATAACAGATGCAGTTAGTATCGAGAACTTATGCGATCAGAAAGAAGAGAAAACAAAACGAGGTTACGCTTGTCGATCGATAACGGTAAATTGAAGAACAACCGTAACGCTGCTGTCCAATTCTTTCACGATTTCTTTCATTTGCCACAAAAAACGTGTAAACGACAAAATTCGTCGAAATCCGCCAACCCAACCGAATCCTATAAACGAGGACATTTAAAACACACATACATGTTGTGAAAACATTTTAATGTGGTTTTCATTCTCGTGAAACTCGCACCCGTTCGCGCGGCTCAATCGATTCGAAACGAAATGTGGACGAGGCCGCGCGCAAGAAACGGAGTCAATGTTTTTAGGTCAGGTGATACAACCGCCGCTCGCGCTGACATCACCGCCGCATAGTAAGCGTGACGCAACTGCTCGTAGTAACGCCACATTCAGGGCTCCGTTCATGCGTCTGTCTACTGGTACCGGGCGCGTGAAAACCAATGCGCGTTCACACGCGACAAAAATTATTTCCTGTCCGTTTCTAAACATTCCTTTCCTTTGTTTTTTTTTTTTCCATTGAGCTTTCCTCATCTCTCTGGAATTTCTCTCTCATCATCATCTTTCTCTCTCTCTCTCTCTCTCTTTCTGAAAGACGCGAATCTGTTCGATATATAGGCCTGTGCGATGCATTGTTCGAAATGTTATACTCTGTTGACAAACAACTCGATAAAAATACATGTAACTCATACAATCATAATTCCGATCTGAAGATACTTATTGACGATCCGATACATAAATATAGATACGAATGTTTTGAACGGCGCGGACGGCGTGGTTTCGATTTTCCACTTTTGATAGATTGACGCGTCGAAAGATCTCTTATAAGCAAATAAAACAAAAGTAATAACGCGAAGTGCAAAATTATCGATCCTCCATTCGTTGTGTTCCACACACAACACATCGTTACTAAGATTCTCCATGACCTTAATTCTTTTGTTATATTGTACATCCAGGTTTCTGGTTCTTTCAATTTCTAGTATCTTACACGTGACTAAAAAACTAGAGTAAATAAATAAATGAAATCACTTAATGTTAAAAAACTACTGCAGAAACTTTATGATCTAAATATTGTGACTTGTCGCTCGTTTATATATAAATTGATCGCATAAATTTTTCTAATACAAATCAATATAAACTGTATATATTACGCCGGATAATACTGCACCAACTGTGATGCACCAACGGTGATACCAGCAATTTTCAGTAAACAGACGCTTATCTGATAATTCCGCAGAAATCATTAAGCCAAGAGATACAAAAAGATAGAAGAACGATGACTAACACAGTTCACAATGTGCGGTTAATAAAGTGACGTATATGAATATCTCGCAGATACAGAAGTGAAGCAACCTAGGAGTAAACATTGGAGTGTCTTTACACTCTAACAAAAACTTTGTTGTGTACAAATTTTATATTATAATACACAAAATCATCGCAAAATAATTACACATTATGTAATGACTCTTTAGTAATCATGTAAGAAGTTTTGGTAAAAGTGTGATCACAGAGCTATCTGCAAATTTGATAACTACTGATCATCAGAATACCATGTGATAGTTGCTGCTAAAATGCTATAAGTGTAGTAATATTAACATTAACAATTAAGGCTTCATAAAGAGCCTAATAAAGAGAATAGAATTCAGAATTTCTGAGTTTGCATCATTGCTATTTCAAGAGAAGCATCACACAATTGCCACAAATAAATTATTCCTAATATATTCAGGTAAAACACATTCATTCAGATAAAAAAAGATAAGTACATATATACATATTACATAGTTATGTAAACATGATTGAATTACACTATTAGTTTCCCTGGTAGAAAACTTATCAATTTTCTACTTTTTCTAACTCTTAAACTTCTCGAAAATTAATTGCTCAGAGTCCACATTTCCAATTCCGAACTTTATTATTTTTCATTGCACCACAAAGTAATATATAACCTTTATTTAAATAACATTTGCATTGAATATTGCACAGTAACATTCACATAATAGTTGAATTGACAACTTAGTTAGTCACTAATGTATGATATTCATCATTGCATTATATGCAATTCATAAAACTTATATATAAGCACAAAGCAGATTGACAAATTTCACAAATATCATATATTACTGTTATAAGGTTTACTTTTAACTGCAGCAAAGTGCAACAAATCAAATAAATGTTTGCTACATTAATAAGAAAAATAGTCACCTAAAAGCCTGTTACCAGATTACTAACAGTCTATTATCAATATATCATTTTGATAATAAGCTGATAGTAATCTGGTAATAGGCCTTTAATTGAGTATTTTTCTTATTAATGTAGCAAACATTTATTTAATTTGTTGCACTTTGCTACAGTTAAAAGTAAACCTTATAACAGTAATATATGATATCTGTGAAATTTTTCATTCTGCTTTGTGCTTATATATATATATAAGTTTTATGAATTGCATATAATGCATGATGAATATCATACATTAATGACCAACTAAGTTGTCACTTCAACTATTATGTGAATGCTACTGTAAATGTTATTTGCATTGAATAAAGGTTATATTACTTGGGTAAAATTGAAAAATTTTTTTGTTAACCACAATTTTCATTGTACTTTTACTTTGGCACGTACATGGTCTCAAAGCACAACAAATTTTAAAATACATTATTGTCAAAAGCAATCCCTAATTTAAAGTTACTTTAAATGTTTTTGTTTATTGCAAGCACAAATAACACAAAAATAGCTTATTATTTAAATAAAATCACAATTGCCGGTCAACTTACTTGGCCTTGAGATCCTCATTGTTATCCCACAAACGTTTGCAGTCGATCTCAAGCTTAGCGCGTTCTCGGGCGGTCTCATCTAGCAGCTTTCGCGCGTCGGACAACTCGTGCTCGTACATGGACTTGATAGTGGACACCTCCCGGGTGACGGTCTCCTGGGTGGTCTGCACCTCCCGCGTCAGCCGAGAGTTCTCGGCCTCGAGGGTCCGTACCTTGTCGATGTAACATGCCAGACGATCGTTCAGATTTTGCAGATCCTGTTTCTCCTGCAGCCGCGAGTATCGCGTAGGGCTGAGCGGGCTGCCGGGTCTCCGGCCGATCGGAGTCGATGCGCTCGCCGGTGGGGATTGTATGCTGCTGGAAGATGACGAAGCGGAAGAGGCGGCGGCCGCGGCCGCCGCCGCCGCTGTCTTCTTGCTCGATTTCGTCGACATACTTGGACGTGTGTCGGTTATGCGGCTTTCTGCACGTGGTTTCGCGCTACGATTTTTCGATTACAGTCTCTCGAAGCACTGAGAGAAAAAGGAAAGAACTACCGGCGCGCGTTCGTACTTAGCGGATCATTAAACTCGCTGTGATCGTCAGCGCGTCTGTGTTGGAAAGAAAATTTGCGTTATTCAACGATCAACTCCTAAACTGATGCGCACTACGTACGTACTGGTTCACCAGCGCAACCTCCAACGGTCGTAGTCACTATAGTCAATCGTATCCGTATTCGATAGCGTACTCACGACGCCACATCACAAGCCGGTTTTATGCCCGACCATCAAGAAGCGCGATGGTAGCGTCCCGTTCCACCATTGGCCGTTACGATCGGCGCGTCACGGTAACGCCGCGCGTTCAACCAATTGCGTATCGCGAGTCGAACGTATGCGCGCAACGTTATTTCGCACGATTCGCCAAGTTTCGACGCCAGAGAAGAAGCGGGCGCGATCCGCTGGACGTGCGGGCCAATCGAATCGCAAAACAATCGGAATGAAAGCTTGAAAGTGGAAATTCACAGGCGCGCACTATTGAACGATAACAAAAGAAAAACGGACTTGGATGATGAAAGGTGCAAGATCTCAAACAAATGACCAAGAAAACCGTATTATATAAATAAATATTGCATTATATTTGACAACCAGTGGTAACAAAGGTAGGTTTCCTCTTTTACGTACTTACAGAACTACTATAGAACAGCACTCTCATAGAATACACTTGACGTCAAATATGTCTCCAACCGCACGGTGTGCAAACTCAATTGTGTTGAAAAAAAATCTTTTCTCTCTCAAAATATTAATTTGGATTATCTTGTTCGAGAAATATTTTATAATGTAGAAAAACGATTTTATCATTTTAGCACGATCGAAAAACAAAATCTATATTGCCAGTTTTTACGCGTTAAGACATATCTGACGCTGAGTGTACAAGCGTCGACTTGTTGTGTATACATATATAACGTTCTATATATAAATTTTATATATGAATTTTTTTTTTTTACTTTAATTTATATACATATATATGAATATCTTATTTTTGAACTTTGAAGCACGGACTAAAACCGTTATAAATCTCGATTCCATTTTCTCGCTGATATGCAGAGATATCGATTCCGTTTCGCACACACTGTTGTAAACACTGTATATAGGAATCAATTTCGCGTATAATTGTAATAATAATAATATATGTATGGCGCGCGCGCACCGGAATTCACATTCGAGTGAAATTTATACCAGTTTCAGTCGTTGCTATGAAAGAGCATTCGTTAACAGAAGTGATATATCACTAGAAAAAGTCCAACTGTGCAGTTGGCTCTGTTTCAATAAGGGCCGGCTTTAAACGCGATGAAAGCGCCCGAAATACAAGAGCGCTTTTTCACATTCGGAGATTTTTCATTTTTCTCCAAATTGTCTATAACACGATAACGTACATCGAATTCATTTCCATTGTTTTCTTGAGAAGAAAGAAAAACAGACAGTCGGAAGATAAAAAGAGAAATAACGAAAGAAACAAAGATAATCCCGGTGATATATAATAGCGACTTATTCTGAACTTAGCACCTCTTTTTGTAGCGTTCCGCGCTTACATACACGGGGGCGCCGCTATCCGCATCATCGTCTTAATACAATCTCTGATCTTAGACAATTGACGTAATTGAATATATACGTATGCAATTTCGTTATACATCTCTTGTCTTTATTTTTATATTTACATAGCTTTTTTCGTGATCGTAATTTTTGTTTTTTTCTTTTTTTTTTTTTTTTGTTGTTTTTGGTCTTACTGAGCAACAAATGTGTCTCAGTAAACTCTTTGGTAGACGCATAAATCCATTCTTGTGTTTTTTTCACGTATATAACACTATATCTCATACTAGATAACATAAGACATATTACTCAAGTGACGCGTGTCTGTTCCCTGAGTTGGTGTACAACCACATTTCAGTCTTTGCCATTTTGCTTCATCTCTCTCACAAATGATTACCACACATCCAATATATACCGATAATTTGTCTCACTAAATAGCAAAATATTGCAGCAACGTCAATAATGAAGCAAGTAATAGAAACGATAAACATCGAAATAATATTATTACACAAAGGCAAAGAACATAGATCTTCTCTTTCGGTTTTTGTGTATGACCGTGAAAAACAACGCGATTAAAAACAAAAAAAAATCCTATTCCTTTTTTTTCCTCACATTTGCGCATTTTATATTATAAATCTCTCTTGTGTCAACACATTAAATACACAACATGTAATATGTAAACAGAAAATAAGATAAAATCTTTTTACAGGACAAAAAATCGTAACGTATTCTGTACACGTATAAAATAAAACAAATTACAATTATTAACACACATTCGTCACCATGTCTCTCATTTATGAGCGATACACATTTATGTATATCTTTAATACGTCAAAATATATAGCTTTGGTAGACAATGTGTTGATCGGCCACGAACAATATTTATATAGATCGAAACAAGTCGCCATGATTTAATTTAAAAAGAACTTAATTCACTTTCTCTCTCGCATATAGCATCTGCGATAAGATGCCTTATAATTCACTACCGATTCACTCACGTCTTATTATTCTCTCTTGTGTCATCATATATTACATTTCAAATACTACGCAATTATATTCGAGTTGCGAGACAAGATTCTTAAAAAACGTTAAATACTGAATCTTTTGTTTCGATCTCACTTATTACCTAGTTAAATCACATTGTCATTTCATTTTATATAGTCATTTGTAAAAATTAATAAATCAGCATTTAACGTATGATTATAAACAAACTTTCTTAAAAATCGTATAAACATCGTGTCATCATTCGTAATAACGTTATTATAACACTAGTAGAGAAAAGCCCTTAATATATTGGTATCCTTTTTCTTTTTTTTTTTTTTGTTTTTTGTTTTTTAACAAATCATATTCTTTGTTGCTTATGCTTTCGTTCTTTCTGCCATTGCTGAGGTATTACTGGTAATAACAGTTGTCTCTGTTATTTTCAAAGAATTATACGTCTACGCGTTTACCACGTAACTGTCTTTGATGTATTCATAGTACTCGTCGATGAGTTTTTTTTTTTTTTTTTCAGGCACGTTCACTACATATATATTCGTTTTTTTTTCTTTACGAGATGCTTACAAATTTGTGAAGAAACCAAATGGAAAAATTTTTGCGCGACTTCTTTACTAGATAGTGAGAAAAAAAACATCAGACTGATCAACCAACAGACGTATTTGTATTTAATTAAGTTTTCACTTGTCTGCGCCAGGGATAGTCAGCATCATCACGTATTTTTTTCTCATTTTTTATCAACCCAAAAAACCTAACCTTACGTTCCTTAATGTTTGTAAACATCTCTCATATAAACATTCCCTAAGATTTTCTTCGTATCGACATGATGTATAATATATATATATATATCGCGTCATACATATTATCATCTTCATTTATAATCGATCATTGCAAAACGAACGACCGAAGAAAATTTCGACAGGAACGTGAGATACGTTAAAGTAAAATTATAACGCCATGTGTCGATTTTGCATCATCACAGACAACCTCGGTTACGACGCAATGAGACTTAAAATTCTTGATTTACCGCTTTCACTTGCATTCGCCCCGATTTCACACTTACTATAGCGATAATAAAAATAAAATTCTGTACAACACACATGTTATATATGTTTCTTACGAAGAAACTCTTTTTTATGGAAACCCTGACGACCACGAATGTCAACCTCGTATCGTCGAAGATCGCGTCGAAGATTGTTGTTTCGTACAAGTTCATTTTCACACTTGTCTATATATATCAAATACTTGAATCAGCAGTTAAACTCGATTTTTCGCGATCAATCATTTATATACATGGACCTATGTTTTTTTTTCTTTTCTGGATAAGATGCGATAGAGCATACTTAATTAATTTATTTTTTAAATAACTATATGTCTAATATTCTATAAACTATTTTGAGATAGGAATGATGCGACGTTTGCGTTTCGAATGAACGCCGAAGGCAGCTATATATGCAAAATGCATAGGAAGTTTGTTAGAAACGTCATTACGATTAATTATTAATCGAATAGGAAAAACTACTCGACTACAATCGTGGACGCGCGTTTGGACCGCTTTGTCTTACGTTTTGCGTGCGGTTCCACATGTTCAACCGATTCTACGGAGCTATTGGAACCGACGTTTCTGCTTGAATTTGTCACCATTTCGAGTTTACGTTTTCGCGATCTTGTCATGGGTCCGTTACTACTGCTGCTGCTGCTGCCACGTTGCGAGATCGAGGTTTTCGACGATGCGAGGTCGCGCTTAGCTACAAGACTCTCTGGTGGTTGCGACAGTCTTGGGGAATTAGAATCTGATGATGATGATAACGAACTCAGATATTCGTTGACTTTTTCCTCGTTAAAGTCAAAAACGCTCGAAGTGGAAGTTGCCGCGTTACTTGGCGGTCGCGGTTGAATTGTCATCGGACTCGACGACGAAGATGAAGACGGTCTCGATGTTGAGGAGCTGGAGTGTGAAGTGGAACGTTTATTCTTACGACGTTGAGCTAGCTTGGCTGCTCCAACCGCACGCAATCGGAAACCATCGCTTGTGTGTTCCGTCGTTGATGAGTTTGACGGTGCTGCGTGCACATCTGCGATTACATCGGGAAGAGGAGTAACCGGAAAATGTGACGTGTCCTTCAGCAACCACGAGTGAGATACGAAAGCAGCCGCGGTAAGTCTTTCGTTACGGTCGATCGTCAATAGACCTTTCACTACCTGTTTCGCCGCGTCGGAAATGTGACTCCATATATTACTGTCGAAATCGATTTCTCTGATGCGCGTCGCCATATCGGACGAGGGCGGATTGCCGGACAACATATAGTACAAGATAACGCCCAGGGACCACATATCACAGCTCTCGTCATAATCCTGTCGAGCTATTACTTCTGGAGCGGCATATGGAAGCGTGAAACAAGGCGTGTTTAATGGCTCACGACTGGTCTTCTTGCGCGCAAAACCGAAATCTACTATCTTTACCGGAAAATCTTCATTCTGATTAGAGAATACAATATTTTCCGGTTTGAGGTCGCGATGCACCACGCCGTGTGAATGCATAAATCTAACAGCCGATGCTAGTTGTCGCATAATCCGCTTAGCCTGTCGTTCTGTGAAAGGTAACGATCGTTGTAACAATTCACCGCCGGAAAGCAACTCCATCACGAGATACGTGTGAAGATGATCACGATGAACATCTATCAATTTCACAACATTTGCATGACGATGGCAAATGCGAAGCAGGTTTTCTTCGCGAGAACAATCTATTCGTCGGCTAACAATTTTCACAGCATATTCTTGTTTCGTTACGCGATGCTGACACCGAACGCAAATAGAATAACTACCTTGACCCAAAGACGGTACGTCTCGAACTATTTCATAAGTTTGGAAGAATGTCGAATCTTTCAAGTCGTTGTGGAGATGTATGTTGGATAACGAAGGCCGAGATTCGTCACCGAAGATGTTCCTGCTCACAGTGTTGTCGGTGAATATTACTGAAGGTGCTACGTAAGAATAATCCTGCAAAACATTGGCAAAAAAAAAAAAATTTATTACATATCCAAGCAAATTTCTTGTTACAAATTTATTAAACGCACTTGTTCAAATTTAAACAAAATAATTGTTAAAAAATTGGTGAAATGATTACAACACGTTAATTTCTCTAGAATTAGGTGTAAAATATTATAAAAGATTGTTACCCTAAAGTATTTGATTTGTGGTCTGTTATTTTCAGTAGTAGCCAGATGTTCAACGTTCATCCTGGTGAATTCTTCTGAAAAATTAGAGGTATCTAATTCGTGTCTAATTTGGGGCACAAAAGGTGGTTCAATTTGCTTTCTTTCTAGAGCTTCCCATGTAAAGGCCGGTGCCGCGTCCGTGAAGAATGGATGTTCCTTGAGTTCTTTCGCATCACGCGGTCCACCACCGAGTCTACGACGAGGATCTTTGACTAGCAGACGGGATATAAAATTGGTCACTTGTGGACTAAAGTCATTCGGCATCGGTGGCGGATCGCTCTTCAATATCCTCCTTGAGACGTCCTGCTGTTGATTCTTGTCACCTTCCAGCGTAAATGGCGACGCACCAGTCAGCAATTCATACGTTAATACTCCTACACTCCACCAATCTACGGCCTATGGTACATAAATGCGATTGCATAATCAAAAAGTTAAATAGATTTAAAGTTAAACAGATTTTTAAATTGCTCTCAAAGTCATCCGAGAGAAACTCTTGCAATAAACAAAAGAGAAGAGATAAAAGAATTTCCAAACTCACCATGTCGTAACCGTTTGGTGCACTTTCAACTACTTCCGGTGCCATATATTCAATAGTTCCACAAAATGAATAAGTACGTGCCCTGCCTGCTTTCAATTCGTGAGGTTGAAATTCTTTGCTCAATCCAAAATCCGTTAATACGATGTGTCCTTCTCGATCTAGCAGTATGTTTTCCAGTTTGATGTCTCTATATATTATTCCGAGCTGCAACAGACATTTCACAAATTTGATTCGATTGTAATTAAACATTTTATTGCTTATCAAATTGATTTTTATTGTTATTTTAAATGATGGGATAGATAATCCACAGCACCATATCATTACATACTTGATGAAGTCGTTCCAGAGCCAAAATGATTTCGCCAATGTAAATTCGTACTGTATTTTCCGAGAACTTCTCATGTTGACCTAGATGACGAAAAAGTTCCCCGCCAGCCACATATTCTGAAACACAAAATTTAATAATTTTTTTGCAATATTTTAAAAATTAGTTAGGGGAGTATTCGGGATCCTTCATATATGTGATACAAAATTAGCATTCTATATGATTTAAAGAATTTAAATTAAAAAAACTCACGTGAAAAAAAATTACACGTAACATTATATATATAATATATATATACACATATTTCCGCACAACATCCTGCGAACGGCTCTTAATGACCTTATATTCATATATTTATTAGTTTAGAAACTTCAGAGCCCGAGATTATTCTCTATTAATTATTAATTAGGAAATAATTTGTTTATAATTCAATGTTCATATATTCCAAGAAAGACAAAAACATGACTCTTCTCATTTCATTGAGTCACATGTTCATAAGGACAATAAAAATACTGATAAACAAATAACAAAATTTTTAATAAGCAATATTAATTATATCATACTTTTTTACAAGTTTCACTTTTTCAAATAGCTTATTATATTCATTTTTATCTGAAAATTGATTTGCTCTACGCGTATAACTCGATTTTAACAATTAGTCGTTGGATCGGCTCATGGCTCAGGTAGTTTATGCAAAAACTGCTGGCCTGGAGATTCGAGTTCAAATCCTCGATGTGGAAATCATCGAAGTTTTTTAACTCCCTCTTTCTCGGCCGATCTTTCTCGGAAAACAATGGCAAAACACCGAGATATACACTTTGCCAATGGTAAACCATTATTTCCCTTAAATAAATGGTTTTTAAAAATTTCTAGTGGTTCGAAGCCCACTTAAAATTGTAGGTTCCTTTCGCTCGTGCATATATATCGTATTCGCGAGCGTAAGATGGGAATTGCACATCTATGTGCCGGTATCCACGCACACCGAAGAGTAAAAATTAAATAAAAAGAACAACTATTTAAGTTGGTTCTTACCCAAAATCAAATAAAGATTTGCGTTGCTTTGGAACGCATAATACAACGTGACCAGAAAGGGGATATCGCGGATCGCCTCCAAAATCTGCCTTTCTGTCATCGTGTGTTCTTCGGTTTTTTTCTTCAGAACAATGTGAGCTTTCCTCAGTACTTTCATAGCGTAGAGTCGTCCCATATCACTGCCAGATCGTTTTCGTACCAAATAGACGTGACCGTAAGCTGCGAATAAACGTAAATGTGTGAAAAGAAAATCAATTATTTAAAATGTTATTATTGCTACAAGATAAATGTAAATACAAAAAAATATATACATATATTGTTTCGTTTATTTCTACCTCCAGTTCCTAGACATTTCAAGACGTCGAAGTGTGTCATATTAACTTTCAGATTGCCGCTGTCCACCAAGTTTACTGTAACAAAAAAAAAAAAACAAACAGATATAGTACACGTGAGAAACATACTTTTACGATCTATAAAACAAAACCGTCGACTGTATTCCAAGAATCCATATGTACAAAAGGTTTTTTTTATAAATGTATGAGAAATTTGCAGACAATCTTACATATATTTTATGTGCGTGACTTACTGTATTAAAAACAAAATCAGACGATCTAAAATGTTTTTCTGCGATATAATAAATCGTTTGAAATTCGAAAAGTTGTTTGTCAGCAGATCATATATATATATATATATACACGGTGTGATTAAAAGTGTGTTTACAACTTGAGATATAGCTTGAAAACAGACTCGACTCTATTCAATGTTACAGCACATTCTGTTTATAACAACGAAGATCTGTTCGAAGTTTCGGTCGTTCCGTAATAAGAAGATTTCAACAAATCAACAAAATTAATATTCGCTAGAACGCACAATACTTTAACAAGCAAATTTGACGGTGTCAAAAAAGGCAATTCTTCTATTGTTTAATTTTTTTTCTGATTTTTATAAATCTTCCATGGCTGCAGTCAAGGTCGGAACAAAAATACGGACACACTACGTTTTTCTTTCTAACGTCTGGCGAATTGACATCGATTGCCAGAAGTCGCTGTACTACAAGAAGAAAACGGATTCATATTATACCGAGTATTATATTTGTATATCGCACGTTCTTCATCTCCGCAGAACGTTACGCGTTTGCTCCTTGTATAGATTTCAATTGAAATCGGAGAAATTATATTCAAGTAGTCACACGAAGCGGCGTATATTTTATTATTTATTTAAGAAAAGGTACACCAGAAAGACGTTCTGTTTCATTTTTCTTCAAGGTCAATAACTTTCTAAAGTCTAACCTAACCTGTTTTTTTTTTTTTTTTTTTTTTTTTTCACGAGAGTGAAACTCATTTCACTCGACAATGTCGTGACGAAAAAAAAATTTAAATTTATACGTCTCCGTTGTTCTTAAAAATATGAGCTTTTCTAAACGCCGAGAATGTAGTTTGCTACAAAGAAAAATTCGTAATCTCTATTCACTCGAGGAAAATCGTGAAAAGCCTGTTTCGCAGCCTTTTTTTTTTTAGAAATTCTTTTAACTTATGAGAACGGTAAAGAAATTTTTTATGACCAAGATACATTATGTTCTTTTGGCGAAATATACGATTATTTTACCGATTTTTTGTTAAGCGAACCGTTCGCAAACATAACATCTTTGCTGTATATCAATAAATTTTTGTTTTCTTTAAAAGAACTCGAAAAATATCGTTCAAAAGGCACAAGGCGAACAAACTCGATTAATTGTCAGAAACTTTAATCGGTGAAAAGGAGCTCGATAGAAAAACAGCAGGTACGTACCGTCAACTGGTAGAGCAGAGTTCGTGTTCGATCTTTCGGCCCTGACTGCCAGTCAGTCGGAAGAATGCATGTCAAGGTGGCAAACGAGACCACACTGTGTGTACGTACCACTTCGCGATTATCGCGAACTCGTCTCGCACGCGTTAAATCGTACACGCAATTCTCGTGTGTGCGCGCGCGCGCGCGCACATACACACACACACACACGTGCGCACACTTAACTCATAACATGACCCGATTCGCTGATATCCGAGGATGAGCAATTTTCATGGATTTCCACGTGAATCTCTCCGATGACGACTTTCGATACGTTCGTCGCGCGTCGCACAACTCGACTCCTTCTCCGACAAGAGTCCGCGGCCTCTTTCGCGGACTCGAAGCGCAAGTTCGCCTCCCCGTTACTTTGAAACGGCACATTCCGGCCCCCTCTTTCTTGCTGTATAATGAGTTCGCTTTTTTTCGACGCTCGATTCGGTGCTCGCCAATAAAAAAGCACGTTCAGAAAGAAAATGAACTGCAGAATTTTTTATGACAAAAATAAGTGTGCGTCAATACTATGTATACCATCGTGGAAGTGAAAATGCATTACAGTGTCTCTTCTGATGTACGATCAAGTTTTGAAAATGGATATTTATCAAGGTTTCGATATGCTCCGCGTCGTTCTAGGTCATTACGTAATAGATTCCGGTTAAAATTCTGTTGCCGGGAGCCGGAGTAGTTTCGCTGCTACTGCGAGGCCGAACGTCGCCAGTCTCTGTTTGATATATCGAGTGTGAGGAAAACTTAAATGTGGAAAGCGCGTTATCACTTTTAATTTGCACGTTTAACGCAGCAAGTATAGTAGTCGCGACGGCTGTGCGCAGAGAGTCAGTCTTGAAGTAGCGCACAGCCGTCTGACTTATGCGCTACTTGATATTAGCAGCTACGAGAACAAAAATCATCTTTTCATAAACATCATCACGTTCATATATATACTTTCGTTCTCCGCAAACTTGAAGCGGATTTACAATACAACTAGACGAGTAACAAAGACTTTAAGACTGCGTAACAGAGCAAAGCGTTTCAAGTACCATATAAAATTTTGGCTGTTTACTTGTAAAATGCACGACACCATTTCTGCATACGTTGCGGAAGTTCCGCTTTTATCTGACCCAGATAGTCGGCATTCACTCGCTATTTCGTAACGGGACTGACTACTTTCTTTCGCCAGCCGCAGCAACGTCACGACGCGATTGTACCGAATATACATATATATATATATATATATATATATACGTGTGTGTGTGTGTGTGTACACGTAATCGCATAAGATGTACAAGAATATCTGTCGAGATGTCTATACTTTGTCAAATCAATCACGTTGGAAATATTCGAATAAATAAATAAATAAGAAGTATTTGTTTTGTATATACAATGAAAATATACAATACAATCAAACTCACGTAACAATTAAAATTGATCGATCATTAATTTTACTTATGGTTCATCAATTTACTGATAATTAATAATATGATAAAATCGATAAAAAAAAAATACAACGATGTTCTCATTAATTATAAACACAATGTGCATGAACAATGAACATTAATAAATAAGTAGATACAAAAATGCATTAAAGCTCTTGGTTTTGAGAGAACAAAGAAACGAATAAACAAGTGTTGTTTCGAAAGAGAGAAGCGAATAAGAAAAATTAATTTGATGGAAATTATTTTTTTGTTTTTTTACGAAACTTGGTTTTTATATCCGAAGTGATAACAAGAGTAATTTAAGACAGAAAAAAAATAAATTTCTTAACAATAAAAAAAAACACTAATGAATAAAAATGGTTATGAAAAATATAAAGTTTAATTTTCTGCACAAACAAGCGGAGTTTTTTTTCTAAAACTTAATCAAAGTGTTTATAATATAATAAAATACAAAATATAAGATAAAAAAAAAAAAAAAAAAAAAAAAAAAAAAAAAAAAAGACTAAAAGAACAATCTCTTGTTAAGCTGTAAACAGCACTTGATTATGAGCATGTAAAAAAAATCTCGTGTTAATAGGTTATCGGATATATAGGCCGAGATTTGCTCGTACAACCCTTCAGTAGAAAAAGAGAAAGTGGAAAGAGGAGCAAAGGGTGCGATACACGCGTATTGGTCTCAGCCGTGTGGCGCAACCGCATGATTGTATTGAGTCGGCGCTTGCATATATTCCATTCGTAGCGGTCATGGGTTACAGCACGTGTATCTCGACACGTGCGACGATTGAAAGAAAGAGAAAGACAAAGAGAGGGAGAGGGAGAGGGAGAGGGAAAGAGAGAGAACGAAAGAGAGAGAGAGAGNAGAGAGAGAGAGAGAGAGAGAGAGAGAGAGAAAGAGAGAGAGAGAGAGAGAGGGAAAGGGAGAGAGAGAGAGAGAGAAATCCTGCGCGTGCGCGTGACTAGTGTTTACTATCTCGATTAATTGAGATGAGATTGGAAATATCGCGTATCGACTCAACAATCAAAGCAAAGAGAATCAGTTTTGAGTACAATCGCGCAGTGCTTATAAATAATAAAGAAACTTAACTCACATCTTGAGCAGAATAAAACTGCATGAAAATAATTCGTTTCAATTTCGGCCGATCTTGGCATTAACCTTTCGTAGTCAGACGTGGGTCTTCCAGACCCACTCAGAAATTGCGCATCGGTGTTCTAAAAAAATTAGCTTCTTTTAAACGCTTATATCTTCGAAACTACTAGAGATTTTTTCAATTTTTTTATTGACCCAAAAATATTCAAACTTTTGATTTAAAAAATAAAAAGAAATTGAAAAAAATAATGATTTTTCGCGGAAATATTCGATTTTAAAGTCGCGTCAATCTCACAGACCCGGTCTGACTAACTGATCGAGTGTCATCGTTTTGAGGTTTGACCACGAAGGGTTAAAATAAACATAGAAATTTTATATGTTCACAGTTACACACACACATTCGTTCATACTGGCTAAAAGTAAAATCCTGCGCTGCTGGATATTTTTTTCACATTATTTGGTGTAAAATTGTTGTATTTGTTGTTATAGAAGAAAGTCTCTACTCAGCAAAGCATGAGAATGTCATTGTGCGCAGCTCACAACTATTTGTGTCTGAATTGTGGCTATTACTAAAATGTGTAAAATGTTTTATGTCACTTTTTTGTGGAATTCTTAAGGTCACGGATATATGACGCAAAAGTATTTTGGGTGCTGAGGTTTTTTCTATAGTATCCTTCTTCTGAGAAAAAAAGTTCTCTTAAAGAAAAAAATTAAAGAACGAGACGAAAGAAATCGATGAATTTCTTGACGCTTTGTATTTCTGTGAAAGCAAGAACAATTAATACACAAAAAATATTCTGGTGTCGAATGATTTTTTCTATCCTTTCTAAATTCTTTTCTAAAAAAATTCCTGTTGAAAAAAAAAAAAGGTTTAAAGAAAGAGAAGAGAAAAACTGAAAATTTCTTGAAAAGCTCTGTATGTCTGCGCAAGAAAGAGATAATTCGTCACAACAACGTTAGACACATATATACAATAGTAGTAACAAGATAATAGCAGTAACAATCGGAATAGCGGTAACAATGGAAACGTTTCTTTCTAGCGATTTCAAAACAAATTTTGTCATCCACTGCGAACGAAATACTTTTTTTGCGTTGTATTTTCTTGTATTCTAAATTCTTTGTTTCCGCTGCGTTTCGGGATGCCTTACAGACGCGAATCGCGCCAATCACGTAGTTACTTCGGATATAAACCATTCCGGATTTACTTATCGGATATATCGCGCACGGGGACACACGCTTGCTATTGATTTGTGTTGCAATTTTATATTTAGCCGTAAACTCGCGCCGGATCGGCCTGTTTACTCGCCGATACATGCGTTTTAATCGGCGAGAAGAAAAAAAGTCGTGCCAATAAGCAGCAGTCGATTTTTTAATGGTGAACCCCTCTCGAGAACGTGTCTGTGAACGCGAGGTGAGAAAAATCTCATTGTTCGGATTGCTTAATTAAAAGAATAATACACCAAGAACACGATAATTGACATTGAAATTAGAGAAAATAAATCAGATAAAGAGAGATAATCTGTAATCTACTGTTTTTCCAAAAATAGAGACAAGACTTTTATATACTCGAGATTCACGAGCACACGTATGTGTGCGCGCAGTGTTAAAATATTAATTTACCTTCATGGACGTACTTGTGCCAAAGAAAAACTAATCGCATCGAGCTCTCACGATCTCAGTGACATAACGACGAGTGTTCCGCATATTACATGCGTATCATTCTATCGCCGTCTCTTTTTTCTCTTTCTCTCTTCTTCTCGCTGTCATTGCATCACTTTGTGAGTTTATCGACAAGTCTCACAAGACTATAATCCGCGCGCGATGTCGAACATCAGTCAGCGTCGTTTTATCGCGGCGACGCAAATAATTGATCAATTGAAATTGGAAATAATTCACCTGCGCGCTCCTTTAAATATTTTAATCCTCGTGGTTATTACGAATTTCGCGGAACTGCAACACCAACGATTGCCGCAATAACAATCTTTTTTTCCGATTTGTTGTTTTTCGTTTTTTTTTTCTTTTTATGAACGCACCGAACGTTGCATAATAATTCGCTTCATCGAATTTGCGACTTCGAGTTTCCAATGGACGCGTTTGCGAATTCTTTCCGTCTTTCCGCTTAGCAATGCAATCGCGAAACTGCTTGCCTACGAAGCGCTGCTTCAAAATATTTTTATCACGATGTACACATGTTACGCGATGTGTACATATTACGCGAGAATATAAATCCCGCGATAATAAAACAATATTAATACGCGTACGGAATGCATACGTGTTGATACTGTGACACTCGAATCGTGACTGTGGATCTTTCCGATGTGCACAGGATGGCTCGCGATTATATAGTCAGTTTGCAGAAACTGTACACAGTCGATTTCTCGATATAGTTTATACAATCGAAGAATACATGTTAATAATAATAATAATAATTAGTAAACTATTATATAGTAGCAATTTAAATACAATATAAATAAAAAAGTATAATACTCAAAAGCTTAAATTTGGAAGGAATCAATAAAGAATTATAATATTATAGACAGAAAAATATTTTTTTGATATTCTAGACATTTTTCGCACCAACTTACGTCATGACACGTGCATGCTTCGGCACGAAAACAAGCGTCAAATTTTCTTCGTGATTTACAGAACGCGTAATTTATTTATCCAATTAATAAATATTTATTCATTCGATAAGATAAAATGTTTACGAAGGTTTGTGTTTATGCAATTAAACTTTCAAAATCAATCTTCTCAGAGATTGTAAGCAAACTCAACTCTAATCTTACTGCGTTTCTCTTGTTTGAAAGTAATTTCTTGTTTTTTAAAAAAATATTTGGAATCGTTTCATCTGGACAAAATCACAAATGCTACGATCGTAGTAAAATCAAATGTGATTGTGTGTTGTGAGGCACACGTGTGCGTGTACGGGGATGCGGGCTCTATAAATAGCACGACGATGGTGCTACATGTACACACGAGTTGCTAAATTTAGATGTTATCATTACACGGATTTTTGCAGGTTATTCGTGTGTGTGCGAATCAACAACGCATGCAGTTACACTTAGCGTGTAATTTACAGAGAGATCTCGTACGACTAACTTTTTAAAAACAGCACCGTATTGAATATTATAAAACGTGTTATGTTTATAACTCGAAAATTAGTAATATATCTTTCTTACTAATGTAACAATTAGAAGCATTATCACATAGATAATTTTAAAACTTTTTTTCAAAGAAAGAAAATTGAGTTTACGTCTAGTGCACACACAGTTGTCCAAGGAACAATAAATTTAATCGAATGTGACTTTTAATTGAATCTAATTTTTA